AGGCCCCCCCCCCCCTTCTTGTGTAAAAATAGGCAGAAATGTGCTTCTGTAGAGATTAGCGGTAGAAAGGAATGGTCAACCCAGAGGTGTTTATTGTAAGAGTTGGTCAAAACTTACGCGAAACTCACATAGTCAGGTACTTGGCATCTACCCAGAGCGGTGGGTATTTGCCCGATACGGGGCTAATGTAGGTGTGGGGCGAGGTGTGGCACGCGGACGGCTTGTCGAATCTAGGTCGCCCGTCTGAAGTATAGACCAAAACACTCGAGACTCAAGAAGAACTCGGCACGCATTTTACTTCTAATCCGATGAAAGCGAATGTGTGGCGTATCCCAAAGCCAGATTTATCAGAAACTTTTAACCTCTATTTTATATGGTTATGCCAAAAATCTATGCCTGCTCGGAATGTGTATCATTTGAATGCCATACAGGAGTAATACTTTAATCAAATTCATGCTTATCGATGCATTTCAAGTACACATACAGATTTTTCTTCATCAAAAGAGAGAAGCAGGCTTCAATACTCAGTGATAATGACGTGGTTTTCTTGTTCTTTCCCATTTTGAGTGGAAATGTCGTCGGCGTTCGTTAGTGTCTCTGCGATTTTCTTGCTTTTCAATAGCATCCAGTATGGTATCTGCTCTGAGAAGGCCTGATTGCCGCACTTCCTTCAGAAGATCTTGACGATTGATATGTGAAAGCGGTACACAGCTCATGATCATTTCTTCAGAATTTATCTAAATTTTAAAAACTCAAAAAAAAGTACAGAGTTTACGAGTCGACCATTTGTTACCTCCAAATCTTGGTGTGCCATTATCCATTCACAAACTGCACGGAATAAAATAATCGCAGAAACATAGAATTTACACGTATATAGCAACTGTGTTACCCCGTTGGCTGGTAATTGAAGGAATCCCTGAAATACCCTAGATGAAGCTGCTGGCTTTGATCAATGAGTGGAGGTGGCGTAGTGAGAAGTGGCGCACTATCACCCGCAGGGTCCAGAAATCGAATCGCGGATCGAACTTTGCTTGACCCAACCAACACTTTCATTATTTCGAAGTTGCATAATTGAAACCATGCCCGTATGGCAATATAAGCACTCATTAACTTTTGAACACCATATTAGCTGGACACCGCAAGTCACTTTATGGGTCATTAGAATCGCTACTACGATTCAGTATAGAGGTCGTGTGTAGGGCGTATCCTGAACGGGGTTCGGGTTTTGGCAGCAGTGCCGCTTGACACCTTTTCCATTCACAAATCTCAATTATGGGACTGCTGATGGGTGGGTAATGGGTGGCCTATCTTACTGTTTCCATCTGTAAGTAATCATGAGGCTTCTTTACTTCTATTCTGAAAAAAACGGTGAGGAGAGAACGTTTGTTTTTGAAAGCAGCACTACCGCCTGAAATCCCAGCATGCCATGGTAGTTCTGATTGTAAGCCCCTCACACAAAACTCACTTATGGGAATGATGGTGTGTGGGTAATTGTCGGCTATCTTGCTGTTTCCATCTGTAAGTAATCATGAGGCTTCTTTACTTCCATTCTGAAAAAACGGTGAGGAGAGAACGTTTATTTTTGAAAGCAGCACTACCGCCTGAAACCCCAGCATGCCATGGTAGTTCTGATTGTAAGCCCCTCACACAAAACTCGAAATGGACTTTGATTTCATTTGGTACAGAACCACATATTCGGTGATTCTGTCAGTTGTGGGAGGGGAGAAAGTCTTGCTCTCTGTTACAATAAACCACTAATTTCGTGTGTCTGCTCGTATGTCGTTCTGTTGTCGGTTGGATCTACAGGGAATGGAGGTAGGGCGGTAACGCCTCCATAGTGACAATGGGTTGGTACCGGTAAATCAATACCAATCGATGTTGGTTTGCATTTTCGAAAGTAACTTGACCGTCTTTAGCCACCGGCAACTCAAACCAGCAGGAAAAAACTCATGTACTGACTCCGATCTAATGGGATATCCACAAATTGGCCTAGGAGATTTTGAAATTCGGGCGGAGTCATCTTACTCTACGCAGCAAACATTCCGCTGAATAACTCCAACATAGTAAGGGGTCATGGATATGCGGTATAGACCATTTTATAAAAATATGTAAAAGAGATTATATACGTACCTGTGAGGCAAGTACTGGTTGAATGTTCTGCACCGTGAATGAAACACAACATAGCCGGAGATCGAAGAGCGAGTATAAGAGAGTCAAGTTGAAAATCTCGCAGACATTTTGGGTGTTCAATAATGTCTGCAACATGGTGTCAATAAATGTTTTTTCTTTTTTATGAAGCTTTCCGAATTTTTGTTTCTAAGCTGGCACTTCGAAGTTTTTTACAAGCTTTTGCTACAATTCTAAGTAATCGAAAAAGCCTGTCAGAACCAAAAAGATGCAAATAAACTCATAGAAATAGAACCCCGTTTTTGGCTGATTTTCAAGATTACGTTCTTCGTTTTATGTGATCCTCTGACTATGGTTCGTTTTTACTTTATTTGCAGCTGGTTTCAGGAATAGTAGAGTTTGCAGGAGGGACCAGACGATATGAGAAAATGCCTTCTGGCCACACTTCTCCTCGCCACCACGGGGTTAGTTAGTTTCAAGGTTTGCTCCTGGGTCAGGAAATCTCCCTGACCCTTATCATCTTGATAATTAGTATAATGTTCCTAGAAACAAACTTGAGCCTGAGCACGAAAGGAACGCTGACAAAAGGGGAATATAATGACATAAAAACACAGTTACCTTGAGGTACTCAACGATGGCTTTTTCCAGTTTAACGAAGTCATACATATGAGCGACTTTGAGGATTTCCAGCACTTGTTTTTCATCATACGAAACCAAAGAAAGCGTACCAGTATAAATATACCTTAAAAAGTTATAAAACATTGATGCCGCACTTTCAAAAAGGAAGCTAATCCGTAACTTCCTAGGCTAATTCAGAAAGTCCTAAAGCGATTGCAAACAGCCTTGGCTCTACCAATCTTCATTACCTTCTACGACTGGTCATGAGTGGATGGCAGCGAATCGGCCCGTTCCCACCATTTAGGTAAAAAACTATATCAAATCAGTGATAAAAGCCAAGATGCAGTGATGTCGTTCAACCCAACCGATGGCATTGCCCATCTTAGCAGAGCTTCCAAAGGGTTACTGGTTCACCTTCCAATACAAAGCATAATCTCGTTGAAATATGTCTATAGAAATTACAAAGACTGGGTGTGTAACGCTCTGAGTGAATTCTTTGGGGAAGCTATTTAGCTATGTTGCATTAGCTAAAGACAATGAGGGCAGGTAATATGTACTTCACAACGGATCGAATAGAAAAGAAAGTTGTGGACTTCAGAAATCGAATTTCCACGACCGTACGCAAGCAAAAGGTAGTGGTCGTGAAGATGTAATGTATTCCGACAAGCGGTGCGCCTTTTCGCAAATTACCCTGTCTCCAAGGCCATTTATAATTGCATTATTGGAAGATATCTTGAGATAAGCGGCGGTGGTGTAGCGGCAAGTGGCGCACTATATCACACGCACGGCCGGGGGTTCGAATCCCGGATCCATGTCCGCAAGGCCAACCAAGCCTTCCATCCCTCCGGGGTCGGTGAATTGGTACCAGACCCGTCTGGGAGGATAAAAGCACTGACTTGTGCAGGCTGGCCACCGCAAGTCATTGTATAGGCCACACGCACTCACTACGCCACTACGATTCTGAATGGAAGTCGAGTGCGGGGCGCATCCCTCAGACGAGATTGATTCACGTCAAAAACTTCATCTTTTATCCTTTATCTTGAGATTATAACTCAGTCGGTCAAATCAGAAGAACTTTGGATGACGAGTTATGGGCAAAGTTCCCGAAAAAACAAGAACAAAACAATGCTGAAGCTAGAAGCGTGAGGGTGCAAACGGGCCTCGGTAGTGTAAAGAGAGAGAGAGATTTAGACAAGT